AATGGCATTAGGACTAAAGCTCAGAACTGGGAATGAATATAAGGGAGAACAATGGTGGCCCATAAATCCTTTTCTCTCCCTGAAGCTTAGTCCCGAATCAGTGGCCTGCTCACTCCAATGTCCCCCTAAGGGCATGAGCGCCCGCTGTGGTTGTGATTTGTGTGAGGTTTTACGATATCATGAAGATATGACTTACTTATCCTACAAGTATGTGATTGTGCTGGGGTTCAGTATGGTTCATTTCTTTAGACGTGAACCTCAGGCGTGAACCACGAGAAAGGTATGTATCTCTCTGTAACCACCTCTTCTGACCTGCCCCAAGATCGATGTCTCGCGCACTACTTCATTCTCAGCAGTCAAAGGGTTATGGAATCTCCCAAGAAGATTGTATCAAATTGCGATTCAAAAAGCATCCAACAGATGCTAAAATATAGTTTCAATTAATCCCGTGCCTCCAATGTTGTATGCGCCATTTGCGACCTTCTGATGTACACATTGCTACTAGTGTGCCTATAAGTTGATGTCCAAACTAGAAACGATTCGGGTAAGCTGACCCTACACACCACACTAGGCACCTCCGACACCTTCCTGTTTGTGGTACGTGAAGCTTCATGGCGAATGATTGTTTATATTTCAAAATCGATGGATGGAGTCCTAGAAATGGCGAGATGACACGTGCTCTGATAATGGCACATGAGAAGGAGGATTTGGTATCATCGGAGTTTTCGGGTTTCATTCGGTTTCCCTGTGTCTGTATAGCGCGAGAAGGCTAACGAAACACAAAACCAGCGGTAGCCTGATTCAGCGATAGTGGCTAATGTTATTGATGTCACATGCTGCTATGTTACCCTTCGCCTACCCCCTACCCTATCTCTCGGATATCGAGTATGTCTGTGTGTTCGTCCGCAAAATGGAGTGGGTGATAAGGCAGCTAATAGAATAAACAACCGCCAACAAGATCGTGTAGCTCGCAGGACTTGAGTTATAAATGATTGTAATAGCTTTGATAACACCCTATCCTACTGTGATATGAACCGCTAAATTGGTGTGTCGGTTTGTATGTACACCAGGTTTGCTCCGCCCGCTATCGCGCGCATCACAGGGTAGGGAGGAACCACGGAATAGCAGCATGACGTACTCCATTAACCACCTCACTATTGAATGTGTTATACCTCCTTATACCCCTTCTCTCCGGCGCATGGCAGCGCCATGTTCCCTCTCCCTCCTCTCTCCCTTCCCTCCCTCTTTCTCTCCCCCTCCCCTTTCCCCTTCCCCCCCCCCCCCCGCTCATCCGGCTGCCACGGCAGCACCATGTAGAATGAGACTGAGTGTGCGATCGGTGTTTATATAGCCGCTGTGGGTTTATCATGATCATGACATCAACATCACGAAGTGTTGCCCTTCGTACTCCCTGGTTTTGTGAGCGGTCGGTCCGGACGGACAGAACGACACACACACACACCGACAAAGTTCTGTTTATATATACCAGATTAGTCCCCCGTCAACCGCCGGGACCTTCCTTTCCTGCGCAAGCTTTCTATCCTCCGCTATGGTCCCTTCCTCCTGTGACACCAACACCTCTGGAAGTGACGCGTATGCAACACAATGGTGTTTCATACAGTAGAAGGGACACAATCATGATATGACGGTAGATTTTTCGCTTCCCTTCCTCATCCTCCCTTCCTCTCTCCACTGCCCTCCAGCTGCCACTGCAGCACCATGTGGAATGAACGGAAGTGTGCTAAGCAGGTGTTTATATAGCCCTAAGAGTGTTATCACAACTATCCTGCTACAAAACATTGATATCTCAAATCCTGTAAGCTACCCGATTTGTTAGCGGTTTGTTTATCCCATGAGCTTCCTTCTCACTCACTTCATTTTGCGGACGGACACACATACATACATACACACACACACACACACATACAGATACACAAACCGACACACAAAGTTAGCGCTTTATAAATACCAGATTAGTCCCCCGTCAACCGCCGGGACCTTCCTTTCCTGCGCAAGCTTTCTATCCTCCGCTATGGTCCCTTCCTCCTGTGACACCAACACCTCGTGGAAGTGACGCGTATGCAACACAATGGTGTTTCATACAGTAGAAGGGACACAATCATGATATGACGGTAGATTTTTCGCTTCCCTTCCTCATCCTCCCTTCCTCTCTCCACTGCCCTCCAGCTGCCACTGCAGCACCATGTGGA